CCCCCCCCCCCCCCCCTACTTCTGCGGCCGGACTTACCGTAAATTATGCCTTTTGAGACGATTATCTTCTTCCTTCCAGCAGTGTCCAGCAGTCCCTCCAGCGCTGGTGATGGTCTCTGATCCAGCGCTGACGCCTGTCTCTTCCAGGCACTTCCTGTCCCATGGTGTCTGTCTGCATGCACGCTGCGGGGCTACCTGCATTGACTTACACTGTGCTTCTCCTCTTCTCCCGGCCGAAGGTGTGTGTGTGTGTGTGTTCTGTAAATAAAGTGCTTAGAATTTATAAAGGGAAATTCACACCCTGGACCCGTTTGCTATTACAGCAGGCCAGGGGTGGACAAATGAATATGGAATTTAGAACCCAGTCTGTCCAATCTTGGATCCAGCAGGATTTTATTTTAGGAGCCAACTCCATTGAGGACAACTAGATAAAAACTCAAAAAGTTAGCCGCCAGCTGTAATTTTTGCTACCTGGCTTCTGGGATTCGTCCAGCGCTGCTATAGGCATCCTTGTATGAGCTTCTTTATGCTTTCCCAACCTACAAAAGCTTATACTGTCGAGTAAATATTTACCGGTGTTTAGCAGTTCCCCACCATCTTCTTTGAGGTGATGCTGTAGATAGGCAAACTCCAGCGAAACTACAAAGTCTCTGCGCACAGCGTGTGGAGCTGTGAACAGGGCCAACCAATCGGAAGCCGATTTAATCGATTATTGAAAAAGTTGACAACTTTTTCAATAATCGATTATAGTCGATTAGTTGTTGCAGCCCTAGTAGAAAGGCATCATGGCACACTCACAAGTCAGCATGTAAAAAAACTTGTCTCACCACTAAGGTTAATAACAGAGGGTTGGATACACGTCTTCTGCAGAAAATGTGAAAGCCGCACAGCCGCGCCAAGGCACCTCTTAGGACCGCACTATAAGCGGTGCCTTGGCGCAGATCGCGGTAAAAACGTGCGACAAACGCGCATATTCGATACGCCTAGGTGTGAACCCAGCCTCAGGGATTTGACTCCTATGGCGTAAGAACCAGGGATATATCTCATGTCAGATTTCTTCCTGAAAGGCCGTGGCACACTAGTGACTTTGTAGAAGAGATTTGCAACAGCTTCAGATCCCTTATTTATATTCCTTGGTGATGTGTAGCTGGTTTCAGAATAGGTGATATACAGTGGTACCTCGGTTCACGAACGCTTCTGTTCGCAAACAATTTGGTTCGCAAAAAAGGACATTCGGCAAAATTGTGCTTCTGTTCACGAACTCCGCATCAGGTGACGAACACAACCGCAGCCATCTTCCCCGCTCTGACACATGGTCGTGGCTTCCTCTCTAGTCGAGAGCACGGTCTGATCAGTTTGATTCGGCTCGCGACCAGAATCGTGGAACGAATTTCCACTGTTTCCAGCTACATTTCATGCCGCTACCAATCTGCTTTCCATGGTCATCAGCGGGTGCAGAGAATAACATAGAAAGCTACTGTAGCATTACTGTAGCATATCTGTAGTTAGATAAACAAAGCTGCAAAAGCCTTTTCTTTCAGAGACCAAGCTACAAGAATAATTCTGTAGCTGCTAATTTTGTGGCTCATGTGATTAAATAAAATAAAATAATGGTGAACTGAGTATAATATGAAGGAGGTTGGGAGTAGTCCGAGTACAGCTACATGCAGGTGCTAATATTTGTGGTCTGTTTTGAAACTGAAGTTTGAGTCTGAAGGTGGCTGGGTGGGGTAGGATAGTTCTCGGTATTGATATTGCTTGTTCAGAAGGAATGAAATACGTAACCTTTCCGCTCTACAGATCAGTGTTTACTGATGTGATCATCGCACTCTGGGACATGTTCGTGCTGCTCAAGGTTGCGTAATCTAGATCTCTAGAATTTTTTTTTTCCTCTGTTCTAGAAACAACCTAAATTCTCCACCTCTATGGCTGGAAGTAACCAGAAATCTCCCCAACTGGAACACAGACAGTAATAAAAATCACATAAGGGGGAATTTATTGAAAATGTAGCAGGCAAGATCTGGAGCAGCTGTGCATGGCAACCAATCAGCTTCGCTCCTCAGTTTGTTCATTTTAAATTTTCCAATCCTAAATGAACAAACTGAGGAGCGAAGCTGATTGGTTGCCATGCACAGCTGCTCCAGATCTTGTCTGCTCCAGTTTTGATAATTTCCCTTCATAGTGGTTCTAACTTTATCCCAGTTTGTCCAGAACAAGAGTTTTGTCTCAAGTACCTGTACAGCCATGTATCTGTGGGACCCCATCCAGCCTTGTGACATGCTGGTCACACTTTTCAGGCCGTCTACAATTGCTTTACTACAGACACAAATCTGCTCATCGGTCAGGACATAGACGAGGATCTCACTTATGCAACTCAACTACACTAGTAACTCTGAATGTCTATTAATAGTAAGAAGCTGCTTTTACTGTCATCCTGTTAAAACAATGAACACATCAAGCTTTCTCAGTGCAAGCTGCTTCTGTTTTAACAAGGCATTAGTAAAAGCTGTGTTTTTATTATTAGTAATTGTGAAATAGCGGCATAAAGGTGGCCATACACTGTACAACCATCGCAAGACCTTAGTCTTGCGATGGTTGTAAAGTGATTAAAAAAAACGTACGATCTGCCCATCTTGGACAGGCAGATCGTACTCTCGATCATCGCAAGCCCGCACCCCTGAGGGGCAGGCTTCCGATGACCGCAATGCTGCACAGGCAGTATGCGCATGCGCACACCGGCCCATTCGGCATTTGTCTCCCGAGCACCGTTCAAACCAGCCGAAAATCGGACGATTTTCGGCTGGTTTTCTACCGTGCTCCTTAGACAAGACGTGCGACCGTACAGTAGAAACGGTCGCACATCTCTGTTCACACTGCTCGATTCTCGTGCGATCGCGGGATTTCCCGCGATTCTCGTACGAGAATCGAGCAGTGTATGGGCACCTTAAGACGGATCATTTCTTTTCTGCTGCCTGGAACTCGAAGGAGAATTATGGGGAGAGTGAAATCTACACATCCCCATAATTAGAGCCAACGTGTGACACTTAGGCTGTCACATGCTGGCTCTATTGATCGGGAAGGGAGCAATCACATGTCACTGATCGCTCAGTTCACAATCTTCTCCCTGCAGACAGCGGTGACTGTCACAGGGATTCCCCTCTCCATTCCTCCAGCGCTCATTGGTGTGATGGCAGGGGAGGGGGTGGGCACAGCTGGCTCTAGAGAGGCAGAGACAGCTGCCAATCAGGCAGCAGGGTGGATCCTGACACTATCGTCAGGATCTTTCCCTGCTGCAGCGCGGCTCTGCATTGTCAGCATATAACGGGTAGTAGCTCGCTATAGGCTGAAACCGAGATATAGCCAAAAAAGGTTTGGCCATAGTTCTTTTTAAAGGGCAGTTATTTTTTTGGTTCCACCCACATTGGAACATAAAAATGCAATTGCACAGTCATGTGACCCAGAGGCTTCAGTGCACAGTGGAAAGTCTGTATGGATGCAGTGAATTGAATAAAACCCAGGCTAAGGCAATGCATAGCTTTCTGACTTTAGCACAGCCGTTACTGTGTTTGCTGAATATCTGGAAAAGTTCCTGTTATCTAAGGACTCATTCACACCACAGAATACCATGCTGTTAATGCACGTTATCGCACAGCATACATTACCATGCGTTGTTCATTTGAATGGCACCCCAACTCACCTCCCGATGAGAATGCATTGCATCGTAATACACAGTGCCGCAAAACCTTGCATTGCGGTGTGGTGGAAAAAAAAGTAATGCATGGGCTGGGGTGCCATTGAAATGAATGACAACACATCTAGCGCAGGGTAATGCAGGCTAGGTGCACTGTGCGTTAGTGTGTTAAATGCATGACCTTGTGTGATTAATGTAACACTATGGTGTAAATGGGCCCTAAGACATGAGTAAGCATTCCAGCCTGCTAACATCTACAAAACTGACACGGGAGGTCAGCAATGGCGGTCCCTGAATGTCTCTCATTGCAGATGTCCTTTAAATTGGCTATGAGTGAGGTCAGAGGAAATGAATATTCTATGAGGCTGAAACCCACAATGTCACCACTAAATCTGTGCTGAAGTTAAATATAGATGTTTTGACCTAGAATCCTAGATCTCTGCTTGAGCACCATTTATATTCACAATGATTTTATGTTCTTTAGTGAAACAATTTGCTTTAAATTGTGTTTTCTGGTTTGTTTGTTTTTCAGCCTTCTACTGAGATTTACAGATGACACTTTTGATCCAGAGCTTGCTGCTACTATTGGTAAGTGGTTTCCAGGCAACTGTAATGGTACCTGTACAGAAATTACCTGTACAGAAATCAGGAATATGGGGTACCCCCCCTATATATTATGGGTACCATATATATATAATCTATATATATCTATATCTTGAAAAATTTGGCGGTGTCTCACCAGTCAGTCAAAAATGTCACCAGTCAGCATGACCGGACTATATAGCCTTGCAATATAGATAGACAGATAGAGCTTTCTTTTGTGACCCCACGGGGGTCCACTGTCTGCTCGTCATGGACGAGTGGATTTTTCGAGCCCTGTATATATATATATATATTTCTAGAAATGAATATACACTCCTGCGCATAGATACCCGCTGCGCTAAAAAGCACAGTTCTCAGCTCTATTTGTATCATTTGATCGAGCGCGCGCGGCTGTACCAAGTGAAGACAGACACAGGCTGTTGTCACGTTGGATCCTCAGTATATAGTCCTCCTGAATGGAGTGAGATCCCTTTTTATTTATAGCCAGGGATAAAAGGAAGGAAGGACTGGCCCCAGCAGCCAATCGATTCCTCAATACATTAACTAAACACAGAGCCAGGCAATGAGACACATGTATACATTTGAATAGACAATAGAAAGGGGAGTATATGCTCGTGCATAAGCAGAAGCAATGTGCACAGCTCACAGCTGCTAGTTCATGAGAACAACATGCACACTAGTTAAACCATGTGCAACAGAGTCCCCGCCAAAACACTACACAAAGGAGTTAGCATGCTTTGACTATGGACGCCGCTCTGACCAGACTCGCACACATACTCGCGCCGTTACCACTGGAGATAATTCTATCCAGCATTGCTCAGTGGGCAATGCCCAATAGAAATTATACTACGATTCCTGTGAATATGAGTTTATCTGCAGGGACAACGCCATATTATTTCCAGACGCACCAAAAAGACACGGGCGTATGTTCCTTAATAAAGGCAGATATGTATTCGAATGATACCGTTTTCTCAAAGCAAATGTACCCACGCCAAGTGAATAAATCCACAAATTACGCAGCGGCCCTCCCCGGCGTCCATACACTCGCGAAGAGAACACCGCTCTGCAAAGCAGATTAATCTCCCCCGGCCAACAGCCCAGTGCATAGCACATGGACCATCCGCTGGCGAAGAGCCCGGCGCACAACGGCCACGACTCCACATCCCTAGGAAGATATCCACTCCAATGGTTTACACTCCGTGCTGATTAATCCGGGCCATGCTCCATAGAGCATAGCCCAGCAATCCTGACACTGAGACATGATGACAATATTTACATATACAATATACTAAAAACACATCCTATTAAAATTTCCACAACAAAATATACACACACACACTTCCTAAAATAATTGTCTCCTCCGGCACCTCCTCAGTCATTTACCCTCATTGACAAAAGTGTTCATGGACTCGTTGGCCAGCCCTAATGCCTGGGGGTGCTTAGATTATGCAAGTACATCACCATGCCCTTGTACTCCAAGTCTATCCCTGTCCATACTATATAATAAAAACAGGAAAGTAATCCTGTATATGCAATGAGACAAAATGACTGCCCCATAAACATATATAATTAGAAATCGTTAAAAATCTGTCACGTTTATTTTTTTTGCCGTCTAGGTCCAATTGTGGAGATTTTCCCTCTTCTTTCTGTGCTATAGGTGCACAAGAAAGTAGGGATGCACCGATGCCGATAACCAATGATTTGGGCAAGTACTCGTACTCGCCCAAATGCTTCGATACTTATCCCAAAACCGGAACTTCAGGTATCGGGAAGCCGGGCGGCGAGTCAACTTCCCAACTTTTGTTGAGCTGTGTGTTGTCGGCAGGGACACGCAGGGCTTGAATATCGGCCGTATCAGCAGTGTATGGCCAGCTTTACTCTGGTACGTTTAGCCATTTGCCACCACAGAACATGATGGTGCCACTTGATTGTATCTTAGAGGAAGGGTGGACACTATAAAACCGAAGAACAAGAGCTGCTTTGTAAATAATAACACTCATACAAACAACAGGGCTTTATTCTTTCATCTTACCTGAGTCTACTCTCATTCAGGAACAACACCAAATGGGAGAGCAGGAAGGTACTTGTCTATTCATAGTCATCCATAGATCTATTATGATAGTACAGGGGCTAAGATTTTTAAAAAAAAGCTAATTCTGCCTACAGCAATACAAATAATCTAACAATGACCTAACTATGACTTATTTTGTAGGTGTTGATTTTAAGGTGAAAACCATTTCAGTTGATGGCAATAAAGCAAAGCTGGCGATCTGGGTAAGTACAAAGAAAAATAGTTTTTTGATGTCTGTCTGTTTTTTTATGTTTCTGTGGTTTCTATTAGAACAAATCATTTTATCATTAATTGATTTGATAAAAATTAGGTTTTTATATTTTCTCTGTGTTCCCAGATCTTCTCTTTTTCAGGAACTTGATACAAAAATATAGTTTTGCATTTGCAGATTTTTACATATATATATATATCTATCCCGCATTCAGAGAAATACATGTGCTGCCATTCTATATCCACTTGTTTCAAGTGGTTTCCCCAAACTTTACCGGGAATGCAATGTTTAATCTCCCTGGCGGTATAATTATTCAGGATTTTAGCATGCCAAAGCGGTACATTGTTTTTCATGGCAATTTGATGTTTTATATTGTTTTATATACCTGTATTTCTTAGTAAATCTTAGGAATAACTCACCTAAATCTGTCCAAACAAGAGTCCAGTAGACATCCCAGGTATGATAAAGTTTGAAATTATAATATAATCTGGGCTTATTTATGATTTTGGCCATATTAGAGCCGACTTCATGTGGTTTTGGGTCAGTAGTGGTCTACATCTTGGAGTTCTGACATGGAAACCTTCTATTCCTTAGGGCCTGTTCACATGAGATCAGGTCCTGATCAGCAGTCATGGAGCTGCTGATGCAGTGCGTTTTTGATGTGTTTTTGATGCATTTTCGGTCCGGATGCTGACCGTTAATTTTTTGTCAACGTTAATGACATCATAATAAGTGGAGAAAGAATACCATTTTTTCTTTTTTTCCCCCTTAGCTGCGTTGCGTTTCCGTTCCGTTTTCGTTGCGTATCCGGACCGTTTCCGGGCCTGACAAAATGTGACATGCAGTATTTTTTTTGTCGTAAACTGAACGGACTGCGCACGTGAGAACTGGAGCCCATAAAACACATAGGGATACATTGGGATGCCTTTTGAGTGCAGCAGCGTACGGAGCCGGTCAGCACACAAAATGGACGTCGTGTGAACAGGCCCTAACTGTGCAAACCAAAACTTCACTGCCTGACTGTTGTCACCAAGCCTTGCTGCAGGTCTTTTGCAGTCACTCAAGAGTTTTTCTCAACCTATTCATAAATCTCAGATTTGTACTCTTGTGAGGGATTCTGTTCTGGGGTGGAAAAATTGAGACTGCAGAAGTCCAATCAGAACGGACGGCGCCCGTGTGAAAAGGACCTTTTGTGATACTTTACACACCCAGTGCATTGTGTACATTTTATAGGTTTTTGTTTTCCTGGAGTTTGACTTTAAATATATCCTGTTCTACATTGTTAACTATTAAAAATAAAACTCCTGCAAAGGGCAGACACCACTTAACGCTGTTATTACCTTTAGCCAGAAAATCCTGTTCTGTGTTCTCGTCTGCATTTAGTTTCACTTTCTTATAGAAGCCTGGTTATGTCTTAGCCCCAACATTAGTGAGAAGTCGGCCATAGCAGCCTCAATGTATGTTTCAGGAAAGGTTCGCAGAGACCAGCAACTGCTTTGATAATTGTTTCTGTGTATTATATATTCTATACTTCTATATATTTGAAATTGGAACATGTTTGTTATACTTTGCAATGCCAGTAATCGGGCTGCAGTATTTTTTTGCTTTGACAGGATTATTATACGCAGGTTGTTCTTTGTAGAATGATCGATTTCCTGAACAGGCTACAGTGTGGAATGTAGCGTCAGTTTGTTTGCCATGTTTATCTGATATGTAGACCTCTGGCATCCTTCCCCTGGGACTGACGGACACATGGAATGAATGGTGCTTACTGTACATCAATAACTCAAGGAAAAACTTTCCATGACTTGGCCTTTAAAGCCTTAAACTTCCAATGCAGATCACACCGCGCTAAAGACAGTGTAATAAGGTTATTTAAAAATGATATTCCTTTTGAAAGTGTCAAATGCCCCTAAAGCAGAGGTGGGCGATTCCGGCCCTCCAGCTGTTGTGGAACTACAAGTCCCGTGAGGCATTGCAAGGCTGACAGTTGCAGGCATGACTCCCAGAGGCATGTTGGGATGTGTAGGTAAAGCTCAGCTGGAGGCCCGGAGTTGCCCACCCCTGCCCTAAAGTGTCAAAGCTGAAGTTTAATCTGCTTTTAATTTGCTTTCCCTAATTTGCCTTCCCTAATTTCATTCTGAAAGTGGCCATTCCTAGGCAGGCTGTATTTGCATGCAGACCACCCAAGGTAACACCCATGTGTGATGCTGGGCTTCCGTGATTGAAAGAATAGAAATCCAGAGAATGAAAGAAGCGGGCAATGGTGTGTAGTGAGATCAGTGTAAGCCATTTCAGTACATGAGTAGCCTGTACAAGACCTGAGGCTCGGTCACATCTATGCAATGCAGTAGAGCTGCAGCTAACGATTATTTTCAAAATTGATTAGTTAGCCGATTATTAAGATCGATTAATCGGATAAAAAATAAAATACATTTTAAAAAATGGCTCCAGTGATGGGACTACTAGTTTGTATTAAGAACGCAGTCCATCACAGGAACAATCAGGCTTACCTGAGCAGTCTTCCAGCAACTTGTTTCTGAGGTTGGACCTGTCTTATCGGCAGCTGCCATTCCCCACACCTGTTCCTCCTTACTTCTTCTGCCCGTGTCCCTGTGCCGATTGTGGATGTGGGCGGTGAGCGCGAGGAGGTGCGGCGTGTGGATGCGGGCGGGTCTGGCTGCAGCAAGCGTGAGGTGGGGAGGAAGTGTGGCGCGCAGCGTGTGTGGAGCCGTGAACAAGGCCAACCAATCGGAAGCCGATTAATCGATGATTGAAAAAGTTGACAACTTTTTCAATCATCGATTATGTCGATTAGTTGTTGCAGCCCTACAATGCAGTGACATTCAGAAATGTGTTTTATGGGCTTTGGTACGCTGCTGCAGTGCCATTAATTCTGCCAATGCAATTCTAGCCAACCTGGGTGCATTGTGATGTGATGCATTATGGAAAAGAAGTACATGTACCTTTTTTGGTGTAATTTTGCTGCAATGAGTAGCCCATGGGCCTTAATGTGTTGCCTTAACTCAACACATGTTAACTCGCGTTCGTTAGCGCAGTACACAAATGTGAACCCAGCCTTAAGGGATGAATGTGCACGGAAGAGATGGTGGTTGTTTTTCTGGATTCCATGTGGTTTTGTGAAAAGGATTGGGTTAGATTAAAAAAAATATATATGTGTATATATTGTACACTGGGGGGGGAATTTACTGCAAGTGGAGCAGACAAAATTTTCCTCCTTTTTAATTTAAGGAGACAATGTTGTGCTTAATATTTCTGTTCCTTTTGGCTTATCGTAGCACCATAACCTCTCTGGTTGTACTGTTATGTTCAATGTAAAAAACAGTGTTACTTTCTGTCCACTAGATGGTGCTGTGCTCCAACATAAATAATTCACTTGTTAAGAATTTTTCATCTATTTTTTAGGACACTGCAGGACAAGAACGTTTCCGAACCCTGACGCCTAGTTATTACAGGGGTGCACAAGGTGTTATATTGGGTAAGGAATTTTTTTTCTCTCGAAGGATAGCATGTGGAGAAGTTTGAGAATTTAAAATCCGTATTCTATGTGGAAGACAGTGCCGTTTTATCATCTCTTTTTTTATCTCGTGCAAAACATGTTCTACTGCCTCACAGCATCAAGATTTAAACATACATTCCCCAACTTTGATTGATTGAGTGCCTTTTATAGAATATCATGTAGAGCACTCATTTCACTACTTTTTTATATAATGCTTGGAGAGGTTTTCTCATCTCTGGTTTTTGTAAAAGATCAAACTATTTAATCTAGGCAATGGTGAAAAAGCAGCTGTAATCTGAGGTCACATGCTACATACAGTACTTGCTGCCACTATTTCTGTTTATTATTGGTATTTATAAAGCACCGACAATTGTATGCAGTGCTTTACATGGCGCACATTCCCATCAGTCCCTGCCCTCAAGGAACCTACAATTTCACATGCATACAGTAGGTGGGCCAATTTAGACAGGAGCCAATTAACCTTACAGCATGTGTTTGGAGTGTGGGAGGAAACCGGAGTACCCGGAGGAAACCCACACAATTACAGGGAAAACATGCAGATAGTGTCCTGACTGGGATTCAAACCGGGAACCTCAAGTGCTGCAAGTCAGAAGTGCTAAACACTAAGCCACTGTACTGTAGTCACAGTTCAAATTTCTGTCAGATTTTATATACTGTTCGGTGACTCCAGTGGGAGATTTTTGCCTTACTTCCTGCCTTTGTCTGTACCAAAAAAGTGGGGTGCAGTCATCAGTAAAAAAGAAGGCAGGTACAGCAATGAAAACATTGTCACAAGTTCTAACTTCTTCACTCTGCTAAAATGTGTTCACGTTTTTTAATCTCTGTCTGCTAAAGAAATTTCCCCTCACTTCCTGCCCTAAAAGGAAGTGAGGGGGAAGTCTCCCCAACAGGGTCACAAATGAAAGTAGGAAGGTAACAGAGATTGTTAATCTTCCCAGTTCTGTTCAAAACTTCATTTTGGCTGGAGTTGGGTTTCATGTGTATGCGAATGGTATGTGCAGTCAGTACATATAAGGACAGTGGCAGCCTTGTATTTTTCTCCTGATTGTAACCATGTTCTACTTTTTTCTGGTTTTTAGTTTATGATGTCACGAGACGGGACACATTTGCAAAGCTGGATAACTGGTTAAATGAGCTGGAGACATATTGCACAAGAAATGACATCGTGAAAATGTTAGTTGGAAACAAGATAGACAAAGTAAGTCGCAGCTCGGTGTTTAATGACATACTCGGCTGATTTGGTTTTCGTTGCATATTGAAATGGTTAATGATATTGGTGTCAGCCCATTATATGACGCCTCCAGGTATTCGTACTGTATTCCTCCTTTCTGTGACCGTGAAAACTATACATACTTTCTGGATCTTGTCTCGGAGTTATGGGTAAGGGCATTGTAGGCGTATTAGTGCATTATTACAACCACACAGTTGAGTGCTGTCAGTGATACGTTTTTTTTTATTGGCAGTAACAGTTACATTTTTAGTGCATCACCTCCTGTTGCAAATTCTTACTGATAATAGATATCTTCAGTCTACCGGATTGAACCACACCCAGTGTCATTCAACCCAGAAGTCTGAGGACATCCGGTGAATGCAGAGCTTCATGGAAGCAACCCATCATCACGGCCCTACACTGATATATAATATTGTAGAGAGCAGTACTGATGCCATTACATGAATGCTTCTCTCTGCATCATTAAGGACTGACAACCACTGAAGAAGATTAAAAGAGGAAGTGGACCCTGTGTGTCATGTGACCAGTCTAAGGGAAAAAAATGGCAGCCTCTCAGATCTGTTTAAAGCTAGCAAAAAGGAAAATAGGCACATCTGCATACAAAGCAGTACAAAAAAAGGTCCAGAGGACACGTTCAAGCTAGCCAGCAACAAAAACAAGCTAGCAGAGGTTTTATTTACATACATTTGCAGATTTATGGAGAAGCCACACTGCCATGTCAAGGCACCTCTAATAAGCGTGGTCCCTCACTATACACCATCTGAGTTTCCCAACTATGGGACATATATGACAATGCACAAACAGAGATCAGGCTCATCTAGAGGCTGCTCCATCCTCCTAAGAGGCACAGGTACACTCCAAAAGCCCAGGCATTACCGGAAGACTTCTAGTGTTATTAGAGGTGCCTTGTCACAGCAATTTGGCTTCCCCATATATCTGCAAATCCTCTGTTTTTAGCATGAGTAGTAAAGAAGATTGTCTTCTTTTTGTTGCTGTCTAGCTGGAATGTGTGTTGGGGATCTTTTATATGCTATCTTCCCAGCCTTAAGATGTATTAAAAAAATTAGACAGCTAAGCACTCTCCAGGGCGTGAGAAGGAGGGAGCCCAAAATTGGGCTTTAAAATATGCATTACATGCAAGTACACCGAGGTACTGCATACTGGTTCCCAAAGGGTGGTTACAACAGATACTAACATTCTCAGTGAAGGCAGCATTTTCCTTTCCTGAAGAAACCTTTTATACTTCATCAGTGTGCCTTACCCCCTATATTATTGTCCTGCACTCAGCAGGCATTCTCCCAGATATTATTTCCTTCTCATGTGATAGGCTTGCTGTTTGATCTTTTGCATCCTTTTTTTTTTGTATTCTCCCATTTGGAATAACTATGTGACTATAACAGGAAGACTTCCTCTCTGCAAACAGCAAGTAGGGAGTAAGTGGAATCGGTGTGAGTTCCTGTTTTGGACTTTTTATGAAGTTTGCTAAGATGCTTGCAATGTATGGTAACTGACCAGAGGAGGTTTGGTTTGTTTTTTTTCTCGGCCAAAGTAGCTGGAAGCATTACCAGACTGATAATTGTATTTATGTATATTCAGCAATGAGTTAGCTATAAATGAGGTAGAATAATGTGTTATTTCAACCAGCTTAAGGAGAAGGTCGATTTTTAATACCGTATATACTCGAGTATAAGCCGAGATTTTCAGCCCATTTTTTTTGCTGAAAAGTGCCCCCCTCGGCTTATACTCGAGTCAGCGTCAGGTTTCTTCTTACTTACCTCGCCGAGCATCGCGTCACTGCTGCTCCGGTGGGCGGCGCTCCGAGCGGGGTCATCTATGATATGTAGCCCTGTACCCCCTTTTCCACTTACAGAGCTAGGTTATTTTTCTTTTAAATAAATATTAATGTAATTTTATTGGTATCTATCTACCAGTAGCTGCCTCATTTGCCACCCTCGGCTTATATTCGGGTCAATACTTTTTCCCAGTTTTTTGTGGTAAAATTAGGTACCTCGGCTTATATTCAGGACAGCTTATACTCGAGTATATACGGTATATAGATTTCTCATTTTATAACAAAAACATGATGCAAATTATTAGTTTTAGTCCTGTTTCTTTGTTTGACAACTTTTTAAATGACCCTGTTTTGAAATGGGAATGATAAAGCTGTCATTTTGTGTTTTTTTTTTTAATTTAATTTTATTTATCTGAATATTTTCTTTTAGGAGAACCGAGAAGTTGACAGGAACGAAGGTCTCAAGTTTGCACGAAAACATTCAATGTTGTTTATAGGTAAGAAGCTGAATAAATCCTTAACTATTATTTTGATCTTTATGTTTACCTTTTTTTTTTTTTTTAAGAATGTAATCACACAAAAAAAGTTATCAGATTTAGGCCTCACATGGGGTGTGTTGCTCTGTTCAGCATGAAGGGGTGGCTTATACTGTGCCCTGAGCTCCGGGAAGAAGCATGCAGGCATCCTATGTAACTCTGTGAAGACGCAGGAGCTGTGTGCCCTCACACACTGCTTCCTACAGCTCTGGAGCACAGCAAAAACCAGCCCTCCACCTTGTACATAGCAACACACCCCATGTGATTGAGGCCTTGTGCACAGAGTAAAGCTGGCCATACACCTATAGATTATCTGCAGATTTTCTATGGTCAGATGGAAAAAGTGCAACAGATTCCTCCATCTACGCTAAACTGTGTGGATGGAGGAATCTCCCCCCTGGGCCATGCTTCAGTATCTTGCTAGTCGGCCCCGCTGGCTCTCAAAATACCTGAACAATGTCTGCATCCAATCGGAGTGTTCAGGTATTTAGAGAGCTAGTTGGGCTGACTAGCACGATACTGAAGCTTGGCCCAGCGGGAGATTCCTCCATCCACACAGTTTAGCATAGATGGAGGAATCTTTTGCACGTTTTCCACCTGACCATAGAAACTCTGCAGATAATCTATAGGTGTATGGCCAACTTAAGGCTGACTAACTAAAGTTAAAAATCTTTACTGAAATAACTGAATATTCACTTAATTTATCCAGTCATGTGAAAAGTATATTCCTGATCACTTTGCATACCCAGTCGTGTGCTTGAATGCTTTTCACTTGATTGGATAATTGAAGTGAATGTTTACACAACTTTTTCAGTGATTATCAACTTTAGTAAATTTCCCTCTTTTACACTCATAAGAGAAGGAGCTCACTGGCCATTTTGGTATCTTAATCGTGAAGCTAAAATCGCTGAGGGGTCTCTGTGCACTGCAACGTATGCATTATGTTAAACAGTCCATTGAAAACGAATGGACTGAAACACACCGCAGCAAACTTAAAGATGGGGCAGGCTGCATTTTTCACAATGCACTGAACATGACACCATGGGGCTTATTTATAGAGCAGTCAGCGTGACTTTCAAATATTTACTGGTTGTGAAATAATCACTCTAATTTTAAACACATACACCAGGAAGAACCACCTGCAGTGAATGATTGGTGGATCTGAGATTTACTGCTTTATAAATATACCACGCTGTGCTGTGCTGTGCTTCATTGCAGTGCACATGCATTTTGGAGGTGCATTGGATTTATTCACAGTAAATGGCACTGCAGTGCACCAAGGCATGCAACGTGGTTGCCACACGTAACATGCGGGTTAACTTGCACATTATTGCAATGCGTTGGTGTGACTGGACCCTTATATTTAGATTTGATCTTTACATAGAATAAATGGCTCCTTTTTGGTGTCAAATACACAGGTAGCATGTTGAAGGGATTTATCATTCATGATCCCACTATGCTACAAATGTATGTGTGATTAACTGCTCTCACATGTTACTTGTGTAGCTCACACCATAGGGAGCCATTAGTACTGTCGGTGTAGCAATTAATCACTAACAATTTTAGTATTGTGATTGAGCTGCTAAAAATCAATCGTGATTTCCTGGGAATAAAGCCAGGGGGGCATAAGGTCACTAGCTGGAGCTTACCTTATGAGGCCCCACCTTAGCTCCGGGTTTTGAACCTTATCCTTTTAATCTGTGGTGGGAATTTTACCTTTTGAGAAGTGCATACATATAGGCCTTTTAGGTAATTGCAGCCAATTCTGCAGAAAGGTCTAAGGTCGGCCATACACATCAATTTTTTTCGTTCCACCCGAGGGCTGAACAGAAAAAAAAATTGACACAATCCCTCCAACTCAAACTGCGTGTCGATCAAGGAATCGCCGCTGTTTGTATTCTGAGAATACATTGCATTCTGAGAATACCCGATCAGAGCGGGCAGCTCATTGGCTGCCGACTCTGATCGTGCAAAGATTTTCCAGCCAGCTAAAAGGGAGCCGACAGCCCCACACACTGCGAACTTCGGCCAGTACATCGCCAGTGAATGGGCATCTTAAGATTGTCTAATGAAAATCTATGGATAAAATTTGAATGGCAGTGGGGTAGGAAAGAATTTCTGCATGATGGATCAATGATTTAGATTATATGATTAATGTTGAACTTTAAAACCTTTTTGAAATTGTCTTGTTCAATGTACCTTTTTATTGATTTTAGGGTTTTTTGTATTGCCTCGGATCAATTGCTTCAGGGTTATTTATAGATACTGATGTGGTACCTGTCCAGCCCAAGACATTACTCATAGTCTACTTAATTTGAGATCAATCAAAATGGTTCCTGATCCCAGGCTACTGTAGAGAAGTGAAACACAAAGTACTGTGCTGGGCTCTACAAGTTCCAACATTCCAGGCCTCTGAGGAAACTCGCTCCCGCGCTCTCCCCTTTTATCCTGCCCACAGTTTAGCTGATCAGTGGACATGCCGAGTAGATTTATCAGCATTTACACACTCGCCATTATACATCAGCAGTACTGAACAGAGAGAGTGATACATCTCTGGCATTACACACTCAGGTGAAGTTAACAGTACCCAGTATGCAAGCAAAATTTTGGTAATGTTCAAGCTTTACCCAGTTGGCTCCTCCTCTGTTCCTCCCGCGCACCTGTTAGCCAATTGGTCGGCTGGGTTATCTGGGACCTGTAGAGTAAAGGATAGTACTACCTGGGTACACGTTCCTCTACAGGAGCCTGGATGGTCAGTGTTAAACAGCCACAGTTTTGATAGATTTCAGCAACAGAGTTGTGTTAGGCTGACTGTAGCAAAATCTCAGTTTGTGTGGAAAAAAAAGTATAGCATTGATTGTGTCCAAGCTCATTACAATGCTGATTTTTTTTTTTTTTCTTTAATAAAATTGCAGTTGTCTGGTCAAAATGTAACAATAAATCCTTGAGAAGCATACAGGGAACACAGGCTACCCTACCTCTTTGTGAGGAATCTGATGAATCCCTTTAAAATGTTGTGACAGGAGACATATTTCCAGGAGACGTAGTCCCAAACATACCCACTGGTCTTCTTTCTGTCCCTAGCATAGAGGAAACTTGATGTACAGTGTTAGTTTCTTACAGAAGTTTCTCAGTCACCAAATCGGATACAAACCAGTGTTTACTTCTTGAGTTTGATTGATGATAAAGCAGTTGGAGAAGTAGCTATGCTGCTCAGATTCAGTTTAGTCAAATAGAGATTTTCCCCATTTCTTCAATTACAGTGTGAACAAGGATATACTCCATTCCACCTTTATTTACTTTGCTCAGAAAATTTCAGGGGGCAAGGATGTGTCCTGAATTTCTATTTACACCTTTAAGTTGCCCATATGTGCATTCTGTTTTGTAGAGTGCATGGGGATCAGGGTGTTTTTTAAAACAAATTCTGACCAGCTTGTGGGATCACAAGCTTTAGCATCTTACCCTCAGCATGTTAAAGTTAAATATGTTGGTTACAGTCTGGGTAGATGCGGGCCGTAGCTGGAAGACTGGCTTGAAAATAAATTCCCCCTAACTTTTTTTTTTCCCCTAATTGGATCTCAGACCGTAAAACCATTATTGCAGATCGGAGACAAAAAACAATCTGTTTCATTACCCACGGCAATTTTGCATGCTGTTCTACATCTACATTTGATCATCTTTCCTGTTTTGTTGGACCACATCTAGAGAAGACAATATGTTATTGATTGTGTTTGAGAAGCATGCACAGAACTAGTATTGGTGCCTACAACTCCCCCAAGACATTATTTGTGTAATGGTTTTGACACATTGTAAGTTCACCTTTTCCAAAAGAGGACTCACTTCCTGAGCAGTATGTGTTTTGATATCCTTTTCCCTATGGCGATGCTGGCCAGGGTCCGGCATGACATCACACCGGGCTGGGGCTGATTCTTAGATCTCTTGTTGTATGATTCACTCCATTTGTTGTTGCGGTGTTCACAATCTTGGTCTATAGCTGGGATTCATTTCATGCAATTAATGCAGTGGTTTGTCTTGGTTTGTCTGCCCTCAGGTTCATTTGGTGGGCCGTGTTAGACATCTCCTAAAATTTTCCGCTTTGTTTGTAGTATTCTTTTTTTGGCTCATGTACAGTCTGTGATTTGGCACAGCACTGGCTGCTATTTGTAATTTCTGAGCTTACCTAATTGTTAAGCCCCATCGTTCATCGTATGGCCGAGTTACCAGAAACGAGACTCTTTCACCAGCCAAAACAAAACACCTTTCTCATACCTATCCCGAATTCTTGAGGTCAGGCTCTTAACCTCCAGGTCCAGAACCTATTTTTCATGGTTTTATGTTCGTTGCCAAATGTGTTTCACCTCATGCCAAGAATCACAAGGCTGACCCCCAGAAACTGTGGCTGTAAATTTTAATGATATCTAATGTGTTTTCTTTTGATTATTGAAAGCAGCTTGGTCAAATTGGGGAACCTGTCATTGCCTTCCACTTGCATGCAGATTTAGTACAAAGTCAGCGTAACGCCTTATAAAGTCAACAGAATCCGAAGATTTTCACCTGAAAATATGTAACTTTGTCAATTAACCATTTGGCTTTATTGCCCCAAAGATTCTTTCCAGATTTTTCTGTAATATGGTATGTAACTGCATTGCAGACTGATGACTTTGCAATGTAGTTGGCTTGACAAGACCTAGGAGTCTGGCTGCCATTGTGTCTAGCAAACATTACAGATGGCACCTGATGGTTTTGGAACTATGTCTGTGGGAGCCTGCATGGAAGTGCTTACAGAAATATTGGCATTTTTTCTGTCCTCCCTGTGACCATGCTGTTACATCTCAGAACTGGCTTACAGCCAAACAATCTGACATTTTAATTTTGGGGATTACCTTTCAAGTCAGAATTACCTTAACAATCTTTTGTCGTTTTGTATATCGCTGCCCTTTTGGGATCAAGCAGCAAAAGGATTGACTGTACCAAACCACTTGGCAGCTAACCCTTTAAAAAAATAAAATAAAAATAGCTTAAGGCTTTTTTTACCAGACTCATACCCATAATAAAGGCCATCCGTGGTTTTGAAAGGGTTAGGTGCCTGTTCTGACTGGTGCCTGAATTCTTCATAATTTTGCAACCCTTGTCCTTGGGTATATGAGCATTTTAGGCCTGAATCTTACTTTGTGACACTTAACTTGGGAGATAAATCTTAAAAATGCATTCAAGTAACTTCCCTATTAACAATACTGTATCTTATTTGTGTATCACATAGTAGCATAGTATGTAAGGTTGAATAAAGACCAAGGTCCTTCCAGGTCAACTTAGCTGTAGATCCTCAAATAAATAATCTCTGAATTGGTGCTGACACTGTCCTTTCTTCTGGAGGGTGGCTACTTTTGTTCCCCATGGTCCCTGTGTGTTGTAATGTAGCCACCACTCCAAGCTCACTCCCGTGATGGATTACAATCTCGGGTTTAGTTCACTAATTTGTTTGTAGTCCATCATGGGAGCGAGCTTGGAGCGAGGGCTACTTTACAACACACACAGGGACCATGGGGAACAAAAGTAGCCACCCTCCAGAAGAAAGGACAGTGTCAGCACCAATTCAGAGATTATTTATTTGAGGATCTACAGCAGAGTGATACACAAGTAAGGTCCAGTATTGTTAATAGTTAAGGTACTTGAATGCATTTATAAGATTTAAATCCCAAGTTAAGTGTCACTTTAATACCCACAAAGTATTCTAAATTTTTTGAAAGTAGAGACTGTAGAATAAAATAGTGGCAGTTGCAGTTTTTTGTCACATGTCAAGTGCGCTACTGTTTGTTAAAAATATACATGTTGATAAAAAATACACACAATTTAACCAGTTGCTGTCCGCCCATTGTAAAAAAACGGACGGACGGCACTGCTGCATTGGCGGGTTGCAGTCTCCAGACGGCATTTTTTTTCTGCTCGCCCACGCCTCATCAAAAAATTGGGTAATAAATGTTTTATCATTTAATATAGGGGAAACATGTTTTTTTTATTTTTGTAACATTTCAGTAATTTTTCCTTTTTAATATAGTAAAAAATAAATACCACCAAAAGAAAGCTCTATCTGTCCCCCACAAATGGTATAAAATGTATTTCAGTACAGCGCTGCATGACGGAATAAATGTCAGTCAAAGTACCGCAGCGCTGAATACTGAAAAATGGCCTGGATGGGAAGGGGGTGTAACCCCGCGGATGTCAACTGGTTAATTTTAGTGCGCACAAAGACAATATAATACCCACAAAGACAATAAATACCAAGTATAGCCTTAAAATAATGTGCACCTGTGAAATGGCATTTCTAGGTTTATTCTTCCTGATACCTGCCCTGGAGGTCTTGGGAACCCGGGGGGGACAGATATGTCTGGGACACATGGCAAGGATTAGGGGGGTGAGTGTTGGAGAGGCTGAAAGCACATTACAGTACTGTATATGTAAAAGTGTTTCAGCAGCCTTGCAGCCACCTGAATCCCATCTACAGGAAAGCCAACAGCTCAATGTAAAAAGGTAAACAAACTCCCGGCTTCTATAGTCTGTTTGTGGCGGCGGCAGCAGCAAATGGCTACAAAATGGTGAGTTCCACTTTGAGGTAATGGAAAAGGATTAGAATATTTCCAAATGAGCCTCCAACGACAGTAAAACCTGACAAGAATTCTTAATCTTCCCTATGCTATCCAAAATAAAAGGAAAAACAGCAAAAAGCTTATCTAATGCCATACATTGTCAAATGCTGTTCTCTCCATGATGTAATATCATGACAAGGAATCCTTATTACAGGTCATTAGAATTCATGTATTTATGTTTAGGAATACTCTGTATACCTCAAAGCTATTTTGTTCAGGCCTCTTGTAGAGCACAGTGAAAGTATTTTTGAAATGGGCTCCATAGGTTGAATACTTAAGTGACTCAAGCACATCATTTTCTGGGAGGACTGGGGAAGATGATGTACCCAATGGTACAATTGTGCCAATAATTTGCAAAAAACGTAGGAAAACCCACCCGAATAATTGTTTGTCTCTTGTTTCAGAGGCCAGCGCAAAGACCAGAGACGGAGTACAGTGTGCCTTTGAGGAACTTGTTGAAAAGATAATTCAGACTCCTGGACTTTGGGAAAGCGAGTCCCACAACAGAGGTGTCAGATTATCAGATGAAGCTGGTGGTCGGGGAGGAACATGCGGCGGATACTGCTCCATGCTGTAAACTAGTTGTACTTTCTATTTAATCCCAATCTAGTGCTACTGGTTTCCTGTGTATATATATCAATTCATGTATGGCTAATCTAGGGACCTTTCCAGTTTGCACATATTTGTTTGTATCATAAGGCAGATATTTGTAGACTATTGTCCAGCAGGTTTGCAGTCCAACAACGCATGAAACTTTTTGACTTCTTTTTTTTCATTGGCCAGTTGCATTAGCCAGTCCATTAACCGCAGTGTCACCTGTTTAATGTACTTTTTAACACTTTCATACAATACTACATCATTTTGAACTTTGTGTTCCATGTTTTTCTTTTTGCTTTCTACACATTGGCTGTTTCTATCTGTTTTAACTCCCTAAGTTTAAATTCTCATGAGGCCATTGCTGAGCCAACCCTGCTCCTGTTTCTAGATGCACACAAAAGCATGTTCAAGCAGATGTCAAGTTATCAAGAAATAACACTATCCTTTTGTTGAGTAATAACTAGTGGTGTCCTGCATAAATGCTTGTAAGTAGCACGCTGATTTCTTGAGAAGTTCTGCCCTTTTTACTTGTGTCCTGATGGTTAAAAAGATCCGGTGAGCCCTATCGGAGCCATGGCTTCCTGTCACATGTCTAGCTGTTAAAAGACCAGTAAACCTACCTTGGAGCACAGTATGTGCAAAAGAGTTATAAGTGACATTCACAAAATCAAATATTCTTGTTTTAAACGTTCATTGGTCATCAGTATACTTAAATTGGGGTTCCAACACTTAAGTTTGAATAGACTGTGGAAGGGTTGATTATCTGGTTTTTATTTCTGCCTGTGTCCCCTTTGAGGAGATGTTACTTCCTGCCATTGGGATCTCCAGAAACTGCTGTGAACCAAACTTCCAGTTTTCCTTTATGGCTGGAGTACATTCTTTATATATTAGAAGAAATCACTAGGGACTGGTGGGTCTCTCCAGTTCTGTAGTAGATTCTCTATAGGAGTATATGGATAATACAAGCGATAAAAAGAAGTTCATCCAACTCCAGGACTTGAAGCGGGTAGATATCTCTTTGGCTGTAGTTCCAGCTTTTTTTTCGTAACTCTCTGCTTTTGACCCTTCTGTTTGTTAATGTAGAAATCTTCTCCCTCCCATCTCTAAACTCCCATTGTTTATTAACAGGATCAAAAGTTGCAATCCCAAATTTCATGTGGAGTGCTACTTAATGGGGGAAATTGATGGAGCACCTTCTGTGGTCTACAATCATTATATGAATCTGTTATGGTAGCCAGACAAGAGCTTTAATCTTTTGAAGATCATACATGATAATAGAACTAGAATTTCTTCTGCAAGGTACCAATCGACTATATAATTGCCCTGAAATGAAATGCTCTGATCCTACGAGCAAATGTTTTCTGACACTTGGCTAGTTTCGGGTTCACAGGTCTGTTGAAAGACGCCTGTCGGCCTTTAGCCAAGAATATTAAATTACAGGGAGCAATCAGTCACAAAGAGAACCCTTTTACTAGTGTCATTACATTGTATTTCACATGTTCAACATAGCTGTGGGATTACTAAAATAACTGAGCGTCATTAGAAACTCTTTTGTTTTTGCTGACCGCTTTAGGTCTACTGGAAAAGGCTTCTTCATGTTAATGCAACACTATACCGAATGATGTCTTTATATTGCATGTTGTGAAAAGTATTTCTCTCCTCTCCACTTTGTGTGATTTTCAGTCTTATTACAAAGAATGTAGGTAATGATTATAGACAATTTAGAGAGATTCTTTTTTTTTTTTTTGTAACCCGCCCATATTAAGGACATGATATGTTCATAACATCAGATGAAAATATTATGTAAAACTCCAGTTCTTGGTAGTTTTTGATCCGGTTTTTGGAACAGTTTTCTAACACAGTCAGATGGACTTTACTTAAAGTGAAAAGCTTCACTCCATTCATCGTGCCCAAAATGTTTACACCGCTAAAGACTTACAATGGACCTATGATTGCCTTCAGCTTAATAAGACATATTCCATTTACTGAAAGCACATTATAACTTATTTGCATTTATGAATAAAAATCAGATCTAACAATATGGTTTTCTAAACTCTGTATGTGCTGACTTTGCTTTTCTCCTTTTTGGCCTTTCATTTACTATGCAGCATGTTCATATTGATTCTCTTAGTTTATCTACTAAGATAGTATGCAGCCTACGGCTGGAGAGCTATGTAGATATGAGATTTATGTTCATCTTATGTATAAAAGACTTTTAATTACCAGTGTGAATGTGCTTTATATTGCTGTGATAGGAAATTTTTTGTATGACCTTTATTTTACTTTTGATGGGTGTTTTGTGCTCAAAGATCACCTTTGACACTAAACTCAGGAGTTAAATCTTTAAAAAAAAAGGCATTCAGGTACCCTATTAACAAAAATGTATATTATTTGTGTATCACTCGACTGTAGATCCTCAAATCATCTCTGAATTGGTGCTGACACTGCCCTTCCTTCTGGAGGGGGGCTACTTTTTTTCCCCATGCTCCTGCTGTGTGTTGTAAAGTAGCCAACGCTCCAAGCTCGCTCCTGTGATGGACTACAATCTCATGTTTAGTTTACTCGTTTGTATAGAGATTGTAGTCTATCACGGAGTGAGCTTGGAGTGGTGGCTACTTTACAACACACACAGGGACCATGGGAAACAAAAGTATCCACCTTCCAGAAGGAAGGGTGGCTACTGAATGAATAAGATACATTTTTGTTAACAGTTAAGGTAAAAAAAAATAGTTAAGGTACCTGAATGCATTTTTAAGCTTTAATTCCTGAGTTTAGTATCAGTTTAAAGGCCAACTTTATAGATCAAGGAGGGTTAGAACCCGTCATGTTTTATGTCTGTGTTCCTATAGAGGAGACTTAATTTCTTTTTTGTAATAACTTACCTGTGTGACTATTTGCGGGGATTTCACATCACTTCCACTTCTGATACCTGTCAAATAGAAGGAAGTGGGAGTTGTTCTCTCCCTGTTTGTTCTGTCCATCAAATAGACAGGAAGTGAGGAAAACTTTTGGGACACAGACCACAAAAAGGTAGGTAGGAGGTGTGGGGTGCTGGTTTCTGTTTCAAGCATTTGCTTTGGTATAAAAAAAAAAAGTTTCCTTTTAAGACTGCTACAAGAGTTACAGATGAGGGTTTCCAAGAATTGTGGCCAGAAGGATCTGCTGCAGACTCCAGTTTTAAGCAGCCTTAAGGGGAAGAAGTTGGTTAAAAAAAGTTGGTTAAAAAAAAAAAAAAATTGCATTTGTGTAGTAAGAGTTCTATGCTAATCATAAAATGTAACCATATTGGCACAGGAGATGGATCCAGTAACCTGTTTGTAAAATGGCATTGGACTTTCAGGAGTACACTACACTACACTACACTTAACACTACACTCTTCCTCCTTCTACACATTTTAACTCATCAATAGAATGAGCTGTCTCACTGACAGTGGGGATGTGAATGGAACAGGCAAGCTTTGATCCTACCACAAAGTGTCAGAGCTTTTCCTATTGGAACATCCTAGAATTTGAATACTTCTATGGGGTTAGTGACAGTAGAGGATGTTTTAACAGCCTGGCAAATAGCATTGCAGTAGCAGCCAACACATTCCTCTTAAAAAAGGTTTACCTAAAGGGAACCATTGATGATAGACCTAAGGTGACTACCATTGCTGACGGTTCAGGGACTCATCCTTTGCTATGTGCTGGATCACTGCCCTGAACAAACACCTAGGCCAAGAGCTGAGACTTTTCTCTTTGCATTCTTGTTCCAAGTCATTGATGTGGCAGATGATGACGGCACCTTGTAGCTCTCATATTTTTGTCCTCAAAGGTCCCTATTAAGGCTCCAACTCTATTTGTTTAATTCTGCGATAAACTCAATTACACCTAAAATTGGACTTTCACAGATCAGTAATAGAGATTTTGTGGGTCTTTTTTTGGGTGTATTCTGTTTTTGATGAGCTATAATATCAGCCATTTGAAGGCTTGAACGATAGCTTAAGAGCTAACATAAGCAGGTTGTGAAATGTGACTTATCTAGGCATGCCTTGAATGTAGCATACATTGTGCGTGCACAAATGGGTAAAATGAAAATGCTGCAGAAAACAAGATTGGTATGCTTGAAGTTTTAATACCACTTATTGAACATTTCTAACTTAAGCTTCCATTTGGAAAACAGTTAAATTGATGGGTTTAATTCCGTGATGATATTTATATCCTTGATTAGAGAATGGATTAAAACCTTTAAATACATAAAAATGTACAGTGTATCTAGGTAAAAAAACTTTTTTTGTTTAGTTTTGGATAAAGTGGGGAAGATTAGGTCCTCTCAAGATTTAACTGGAGTTTGTGTCCCCACTGGAGAGATTCGCCCCTCTATTAGTACTGGTGCCCCTTGTTGTTGAGAAAGAAAGTGAGGGGCAATGCAGCTTTTTAGAGCTGTCCCAAAGACATGATATACCGTAAGGAGAATTTTTCCAAAAGGGGATAATTGTTCTAGGGCCAACTGTCTAATAGGAAAATTCCCCTCATCTTGGAAGATTTCCTTTAACTCCCCTTTCCGACTCTGGGACAGGAAGTGAAGAGGAATTACCGCAATGGTACATAGACAGAAAACAAATAACCTGACAGGTTTTCTAGGGATGCTCCGGTACCGGAACATGGAGCCAGCTTTCCGTGCAATCGGGAAGCTGGGCGGCGAGTAATGGTCCGGCTTCCTGATTAACCAGAAAGCTGGCTCCATTCTGTTTGTCTGGGAAGCTCACTTCCCATCCAATCAGCATCGAGCCGGCCCAACAGCTGGCTCGATGGTGATTAACTGGGAAGCCGGCTTTCCAGCCAATCAGCATCGAGCCGGCTTCCCGGCCAATCAGGAAGCTGGGAAGCAGGTCATTACTCGCCACCCGGCTTCCTGATTGGCCCATGAAGCTGGTTCGATGCTGATCTGCTGGGAAGCCGGTTTCCCGGCCAAGCACAATCAAACCGACCAGACAATGCCAGCGGAAGCACCAGTATCAGTACTCCGTATAGACGAGTACCGAAAGCAATGTGTAAGTACTCATACTCGCTCGATACCGAAAAAACGGTATTGGTGCATCCCTAGTTTTAACCCTTCCTTACTTCAGGAAGGCAGTATTTTAAGTATGAAGGTAAGATCAGGAACATACATGATCTTAAACTAGCAGGAGTAAAGTTCAAAACTTGCCTCCTTAAAAAGTATTATTTAACCAAAAATGTAGTTGGTTTGCAGCAGACTTCCAGAAGAGGTAGTTGGTCAACAGTAGGTGGATG